TATATAAAATATGTATTATATATACATATATTATATATTATATATATATATATTATATATTATATATACATATATTATATGCAAATATATTGTATATACTTATAAGTTATAACATGAGAGAGAGAGAATCACGTGAATGTATATTTTACTTATTTATAAATATGTATTATATAGTTATATATGTATTTATTACATATTTATATTATGCTTATTTAAGTATAGTTACACATTTTACTTATATGATATACTTTTATATGTACTAGATGCAATATACTTATATATAATTATACTTATGCATTTATATATACTTATATAACTGTAATTCTATAATATACACATATAAGTATACTTATAACTGTATTATATATATTTATATTGTTATATCTTAGCATCTATACCATGCTAAGAGAAAAAATAGAGAGAGAGAGAGAGAGAGAGAGAGAGAGAGAGAGAGAGAGAGAGAGTACAACTATATATTATATATACATATATTATATGTAAATATATTGTATATACTTATAAGTTATAATTTGAGAGAGAGAGAGAGAGAATCACATAAATATATATTATATATGTATTTATTACACACTTACATTATGTTTATTTAAGTACAATTATACAGTTTACTTATATGATATACTTTTATATACACTAGATGCAATATACTTATATATAATTATATTATGCACTTAAATATATTTATATAACTGTAATTCTAATATACACATATAAATATACTTATAACTACATTATATATTTATATTCTTATATATTAGTATCTATATCTATATCAACTTATATATAATTATATTATGCACTTAAATATATTTATATAACTGTAATTCTAATATACACATATAAATATACTTATAACTACATTATATATTTATATTCTTATATATTAGTATTAAGTTAAGGGCATTGATCTCTCTCCTATCAGTCTTTCCGCTTTCATTCCTGGCATTTGTCCTTCTAACAGCTTATTCGTCGCAAACATGTGCCATTGAGGTGAGGAGCTTTTAAGCGCTTGCCTTCGAAGCGCAAGACCAATCCTAGTGTCAGTTATGGAAATGGACAAAATCGGATGCTGTCAAACTTGCCTTAGGGCAATCAGTCCCTTGCTTTTGTTGAATTAATTCCTTTCTCATCGAATCTGTCTATTAAAAAAAAAATTTCTATTTCTCGAGGCATATGAATATTATCTATATGCCACTAACTCAAGTGCCACATCTGATTCAACAGCGGCACCGTCTATTGCAAACATAGCACTGAATCCAGTGAAAGATGATTCTCTCCCTCTTCCTCATAGGATTCTTGCGCATCCTGAATAAAGTGCCCTAGGTTGCCTTATCTTATAACAGAATATTTTGTTTGAACATGAGAGCGTCAAGATCTTATACCAATGTAAAGGAAAGCATATCTGTAACGGTAGAAGCATTAGTCAACCTAACATTTCCACGTTTTAGAGGAATTAGATCAGCCTAAGAGTAATTCCTCTGTTTGCTCTTGATGCCGAGAATCGTCTGCAAAGAGAATCGCCCGCTTGTCAGGAATAGCGGGACGGTTCCACATCTCGATCCCTCTTTCTCTTCTTTTTTAGTTTCATCAAAACAATTGTCCGACGATTGCCCGCTTTGCCTCTCTTCCTGGCATCCTTCCCCTTCTTTGCTTTGCCAAGTTTGTCGATAGGAGTGAAATCTAATTGAATCTATCTTTCCTGTCCTTGAGGAACTGGTTTAAGAGCTTAGGCAAGACTTGGCCTACGTGGAGTAGACCTCACTCGCTCTTTGGCTCGCTCCTATCTTTTCTTTTGTAGAAAACCTTTCAACTTGTTGGGCAGCAGCTGCAGATACCTCTCCTTTCAGTCGATCGTACGTTGGTCGCCTCTCCCTAACGGGGGAGCTCCACTTACCCCCTCGTAAAAACGAAAATGAAGGAAGAGTGGGTCCTCATCCTCTTGGTTAAGACCTAAGAGAACTAGTACCCTGTAAGAGTAATCTTTCCTTGCACGATCATTCTTACCTTACTTCTACTACATTCATCATAACTTTAAGATCGATCTTAAACTGAACTAGGATAAGACATAAAGTCAAAAGGAAAACTGAATTCAGACTTTTAGGACACTTTCTTTCTAACAAGTGCCGTTACGCTCAGAACAAGGCTAAGAAAAATGGATCCCGACAAGACTGTCCTTGATCTCCCTGACCCTGAGATAAGGTCCCTGGCATACAGTGAAAGAGAAAGGTCAAAAGCAGATATTTCACTAGGGGTAGTTGGTTCCTCGGGTTAGAGATATGTCTTTTCTACGGGTCTTTGGATAGGGCCTTTCATAAAGCGGTGTATAAGGCGGCGGCTAAGGTATATATATGGGATAAGGCAGATATAGGGCTTGCTTTCTATAACTTTAGTTTAGTGTATACCCTAATCGGCGTATACTATCGGGGAGATATCAGTAGGGGAAGGAGTCTCTCACGCTATCAGGATTCAAGCTATTTTACCCAGAAGAAGGCTTTTTTGCCAAAGCAGGTTAATTTATTCAATTATAGTCCCAGTTCAATGATAAGCCTTTTCCAATATCCAATAGCAGAAAAAAGGGAATCCCCAGCTTTTTTTTTAAGAAAGCAGCTATCTTTTAATCCCGAGAAAAAGACCATCGAGTTTGAGTTCTATCTCGTCCTAAGGCCAGTTATATTCCCAGCTATCTAGTTTAAGTGCCGGTTTCCTTACATTCAGTAGGAGTTTTCTTCAAGCCAGTAGAAAAAATCTCAGTTTTGATAGACGCAGGAGAAGAGACAGCAGAACCTTCAAGCAAGTCAAATTCTGTGATAAAGGCAGTTCTCTTCGATGAATTTCTAGGCGAGACGAAGACGGTCCCTTCCAGCGAGTTTCTAGTCCCATACCTGTACTCGCATATAGCCCTGGCTAATATCTAATAATAAAGAATGAATAATAATAAAAGACTTTTTTATAGGATAAGGGTAGGTATTCCGCATATCTGATTTCAAGCCGAGTTTTTTCCAGCCAATTTCTTTACAGGCAGTTGCATTTCTAAAGTAAAGGTTTCAGTCGTCCTATCCTAATTCCCAATCATGCATTTTGAGTGATAAGGGTATCTAGCTCTAGTCCTTCCGCCAGAGAGCGAGAAAGAGGGAGAGTTGCCAGCGGTGAGCTTCGATATCGGACCAGGGAAGGGATCTCTTTCTATTTTTTCTTTCGATCCAAGTTTACGATAAGCAAGCCAAAATTAGTAGGATCTGATGACATATCTGATGGCATATCTGTGGATCTAAAAGTAAGAAAGATAGTTCTGGTGAAGGCTTATCCCTTTAACATAAAAAATTAATATACTTATAGTTTCACTATATCGTACTATTAATTTTCTTACAACCAGTGGGATAGATGCAGTTCTTCACTCAATACCTGCGCATAGAGCCAGACTAGATAATCATAAAGAGCTTCTTGCTGTCCTTCGACCTGAGAGTACCCTCGTTCCTCGTTATGCCTTCTGCTCTGCTTGCGATACAGTTGTTTTGATGAGAATAGATGCTTATGGGTATGTGTGTAAGATTTGGCCCATGTTTTCCCGCGGGTTATAAGTTTCCGATGCCTGCTCCACGACTATTATCTGGCTACTAGATATAAGTGCTAGCATTTCCTATCTACCAACCAGTGCTAGTTCCAGCGGCGAGTGAGGAAATCAATGCAGTTCCATGTCGGTCCAGGTGAAGTGCTTCCCCCGAGAAATCTAGACTTTTGGCTTTCTCCTTTTATACACCGCTCCTGCCTTCCCTTCTAGTCTTGGGTACGAGTTTCAATTTGGAGAACTTGAACTAGCTAGGGCGCCCTCGTTTGGGGCATAACTTTCAGAGGAAAGCGCAACGAAGACCATCTTTAAGAAAGAAAGCTCCCCGTTGCTGAAAGAGACCGAAGAAGGTTCAACTAGCGCTTAGAGTTCGGTGCGAGGATCAACTCCGTACCCTTCCTTCAGATAGTTACAGCTTTGCACGAGCTGAGACAGTGTAGATAGATCCGGATAAGGCATCCAATGCATTTAGTGCCATCTTTTGTTACCTTACTACTGTTCCCCGACCTCTAAAGGAAAAGAAGCATACTTGAAGGGCCCATAGAGAATAGCCCCTACGGACACCATCTATCAATCGTTCCATCTCTGCTTTCCCCAAAAGGAAGAATCTGGCTTATCCTATTCTCTTTATGCCAACTGTATTGAAATCAATCATCACATTATGGTTAGACCAAACCATTCGAAAGACGAACATTAAGATCACATTTCATATAGAGAGAGAGAGAGAGAGAGAGAGAGAGAGAGAGAGAGAGAGATGGGTATGATTGGTACCAAGCACAAATTTTATGCTTGATAGTGAGATGTCTCATTCCCATCCACTCATTCAATTGGGGGATCACATTCAACTCATGTGAATGTGATCCCCCATTTAAATGAGTGGAGGATAATATGTCACCTCACTGCCAAGCATAAATTTTGTGCTTGGTACCAAGCATACCCATATTCCTCATATATCCAATTAGCTTGCAGGTAGAAGGACTGTTTTTTAGGATTTTGGCTAGAAGAGCTATAGACTGAAATTGGCAATCGACTCTCTTTTTCATATTCTAAAGACAGTGGATTGAACAGGCTTCCTTTCTCATAGGCTTGCAACTAAGACCAAACCATTCGAAAGACGAACATTAAGATCACATTTCAGGGACTACAACATTTTGAGATTGGCAGGATGTGTGTGAAAATTGACCTGAGGAAAGCGTTCGACAGTGTTGACTAGGGATTCCTGAAAGCACCGGAATTTTTCTAACGCTTAACAGGATTCGCGCCATAATAAAAGACTCAAATGGCTGTACAGAGCCTGAGCCTATTCTCATCAGACAGAAGACCGACCTCTGGGTGAGAAATTAAGGGAATCCATGAGAGAAGGTTCAAGAACCTATAGACTCTAAAGAAACACGACTTCGGTTCCGACCGAATATAGCCCTTTAAGCGAGAGGGCCAAGGTTCTTTGTTGGCGTGTTGCGTAACAAGGGCAAGATGAAAGGCGGGGGGCGGGATCAAGCTTTCAAGGAATGGACGGGCGTAGGCTTTCTAGTGAACGCAGGCCCCTGACTGAATCAATGACCGCATGAGCCGAGAGAAAGATTCCGACTTATTTATAAGTTGCGAAGAAAGATCGAAGACGCAGATTTTCTGACGCAGTGCGGGCACTGGATGGAAAAGACAGATAAGGGAAGAAGCAAGCGGGAAAGGCATACCTCAAGGAGCACCAATCTCCCACGGCGAACATCTATCTGCACGAAGCCGACCTATGGATAGAAAGAAAGATACAGGAAAGGAAAATGAAATAGGGTTAGTTTGAGATACGCGGACGGGGAGTACGCAGCCGAACAACTGCAGGGGCTTCCAGCAGTGATAGCTAAACTAACCAGATGGGCCGCCTAAAACCTGGAGCAACCATTTCAATCGGAAATCAACGTCGGATCCCGGCTATCTGAAAAAGGCATCCTGAAACGGAGGATCACGAAATGCAAGAAGGGGCGAAGTAATAATTGTAGGTTTTATTGGTTATATATATAAGGAAAAGTAGATTAAATTTTATGCAAAAATTGTTAGAGGGTTCTATTAGTAAAAGGACTTATATGAATACCCAAAACCCTACCCAAACTATTTCTTTTTTTCTCGTCAGCCTGTTTCTCCTTCTTCCCGTCTATTAGTAATAGGACTTATAAGAAAAAGCCAGGTATTTTCCTCTTTCTTCATCTCCTCAACCAAGCAAAGAACCCAGCGCTTCATAATCCTCCGCCACCTCAAACACATTTTCCCGATCAGCTACCTGCAACCTCATTCTAATAAAAGACAGCCAACTTTAATCTCTCGCCTAAATTCCATCTTTTACCCAAACTTTATCTCCAGCAAAGACTCAGACATCAAAAAAAAGGAGAGAAAAAAAGTTAATCAGATCTGTATTGTAGGAGGGTAGGTCATGATTGTTACACAAGTATAAGAGGTATTACTTCTATCTTTAGTAATTGCTTTATGTGGTAAATTTTTGTATTAGGTTATTTAGATCTTATTATAGATGATGTTGACAATGACACACTAGGTAGTTGACTTTTCAATTTTGGCCTTGGACAAAATCCATACCATAGTGGAGCACCTGATCATATCCTCTTTAATCGGTTTTATAAAATAATCATTAATCACGCATTTAAATTCCTTGGCTAAAGGCATTTTAATGCATAATTGTTTAGATATAAGAGTAAAGAAGATAAAGTTTATAGTTATATTTTGGTAGGCAATAAGTCTAGGGCATATAATAGTATTGATCATTGTTTATATTCATTCTTTAGGAGTTTCGTGTGGCTCTGAGGAGGCATCGTGAGTGGTATATTGATTGTCTTTCGGATTTGTGGTAAGTGGTGAATTTATACATTGTGCACTACATATTTTCCATATAAAATTATATTAATTATATGTGACGCCCCAGGGTTCACACAAGGCTGCAGTGCCAGGTGAAACCCGGATTGTCAAACCTGCCAAGCACCAAACACCATGCTACGACATGTTTCACCATCACAATCACTATCTCTTTAGTGGAAACAATAAATAGGTGAAGGTACGGATAGGCAAAAATAGAAATAGAAATAGAACAACACCGAATGTACACAGAAGAAGCATATGAAAAATCAATAATGAACCCAACTGGGATGAAATAGACATATCTCTGAGTCTGAACTGAATCTCAAATACAACGAGTCACATAAACAAAGTCTCATAATAGCTCTCAACTCTATGAAACAAAATACCAATCTAGATTCTGAAAATAATCAACTACATGTGGAGTTCTACAATAACTACAAAAATATGATAAGTAACTACATGGACAACTAAGAAGTCCTATCAACCTGTGACTCTCCGTGCGCCAGACTCGCTGCCTGAAAGGGGGGAAAACAACGAGCGTTAAAGCGCTAGCGAGATCATCACTACCTCTCCCCAGGGGAAGGGGTAGGAGTATATAAGAAAATAGAGTCAGTACATACATATATCAAATCATTCATATAACTCTCTATGAATAAAAAACAAATAATCAATGATAAATACTCCAATCTCCAACATAAAGAATAATCATCTCATCTCGAATTACGTCCGAGTGACCTGCTCTAATATAAGAGGATACCAACTAAGCTAAAACAAATATATCTGCCGTCTATAACGAGTGTATCAAATTCTCAAAGGAAATACCCTAC